GAGTTAGGAAGAAGTGGCAGAGATTGGAATTGCCATCCCCCTAGAGTCATATAGGTATATACATAGATACTTACATGACCCATCCAGCAGAGCGGTACAACAACAAAACTAACCAACCCCTTTACAATTCATCATCTAAACCATATGTGTATCACTTTTACAACTAGTTAAACATTTTGATTTTAAATGAAAATAAATCTTAATTCATATATTCCTTTAAGTTTATAGCTAAAACTATACAGTCGTCAAGTGTATGTAGTAAAATATAGATCGGTTATTTCTCGTGAGAAACTAGGAATAGCACATTGCCGACTGGAGACACCAATACGCTTCGATAGTGCTTTGACGCAACCTTATACCTAATACCCGTTGGGACTCCACTTTCGTCGCCAATCTTCTGACTTCCAGTAGAAGCGTTGGGGTCTTTGACTCGAGATTGACCAGTCGACTCGAGAAAACAAAGGTACTTCCAAATACGTGCAGTTACCACCAAAATGGAAGTAGCTCTGCTTAAATCAATTTCGCTTTACATAACGATTAAAAAACTTGAATATAGCTAAGAAATTCAATTAGGCAACCACCTTCTAGCCCACTTACCCCACCCACTTCTACACCTTCAACACCTTCACCTTCAACGCCTTCAACGCCTTGACCTTCAACTTCAACACCTTCAATCTCCAACTTCTACACCTTCTTTTTCAATCGCTAACGTCGCTCAAAGCTATAAGTATGCTAACAATCGATCTAGAATCATCAAAATCCTCCTGCGCGAATTGGCTACCTTAGCAGTTTCAGCAAGGGTGGTGATATTCTTGGCATTCAAGTAAGAAGTATGAATGTAGCGTGTATGTGTATAAAATAGGAACTACTTCTATTTTGGTGGGGATTGTACCAATTTGGAAGTACCGCCGGATTTTCTCGAGTCGACTGGTCAATCTCGAGTCAAAGACCCCAACGCTTCTACTGGAAGTCAGAAGATTGGCGACGAAAGTGGAGTCCCAACGGGTACCTAGTCACTGGTCTAACTGTGATACCTCGTCTCGTGGACTCGCTTTGTGGCCTAACCAGTAGTCCACGCGCACAGTTACTTATATAGTAAGTACAGGGCGCCCTTTTGACCCCCCTGCCGTATGAAGATCCACGAGCTGCGCAATTCCGTTAACGAAGAGCTTACGACATACCTTACTATTGGTACCACTACGCACCCTAAACGTTATTATGGCCTCTTCTAGGGCCCTTGAAGGTAGCTGCCTAATTGTTGCTCAGTTAGAACCCTTAATCGTGCAACAGAAAGTCTCGCATGTACATGTGCATACAGTATATGCATGTAGCAGCGGCACGAGAAAAATGCTATGCTAAGCCGTGATTTTGCACAGAACGCCAACTCAGTCTCCGGTGTAGCCAGATTCCAGACGCATACTAAGTACACATGCAATGATGAAGCACATGAGCGTTTTAGAATCGAATAGCTGGAATCCTGTCGAGTCTTATTCACTTGACTGGAACAGCCACATACTAGGAATCTGGGTAGCTGAATTTCAAAGACGGCTCTGTGATACCTACGCAGAAGGCTGACCAGATCCAGCACGTGTAACTGCCCTCTACTGCCTCTTAAGTAGACCATTATCACTGTGAGCAACGCTGTCAGCAATGCTAAAGGGGGTCGTATACTATGTATACTCATAAACCCATATTAAGTACTCTAGCCGCCGTCAAAACCAGCACAGGTTTCACGTGTAGGTAGCACAAGCCTATCAAGACCTGTGACCCTCGACCCCTTGGGCAGCAGTCCATACCTGGGTACATAGGTACTGTGATACTACTACCTACCTACCTACTGTAGGAGGTAAGTACTTAAGTAGTAGGTATCTAATCTACATACCTATTTAAGTATGGCGCACGACTGTAGTGCTTTGGGCACGTACACTAGCCCTGTATACTCGAGCTTTGATTGGTTTTCTGCAAAACTGCAATACAAAAGACTCGCTGCTAAGCAAGACCTCTCGCCTCTAAATACATTACATGTAGCGAGGTAGGACTGGGACAACTCCGTTGCCCTTCGGATCCTCAGATCGTTTCAAGTCGATTGTCCACATACCATCATATCACATCACATCACCACCTACGGGTCCATGTGCTAGTAGGCTGCACTATGCGTAGGCACGCTGCTAAGGCTGGTGATCCGCCTGTGTAGTGTACATCAATATGTGTGGGGAGGCTTGTGTCTCCTAAGAATCAACCTGACTTGTTTATACTGTAAGTACAGCCGAGACAGCCATAATGTACTTACCTACTGTAGATAGATATTTGCAAAGTGTAGTGGTCTGTGTGTATGTGGTTATGACAACTCAGTACCTATCTACCACATACGGTACATTGCCTCTGGAAGAACACATTCCCCAACAATCCGATCTCATAAGATCGGGATTGGCAGTGTCAGAGATTCCATAATCATACCTAGGTACTACCATAAGCATACCTATAAGTACTGCAAGTACTTAAGTATAGGACGTGCCAAAGGACACCGACCAGAGCACACTATAATCTGTGTCTTACAGGTACATGTAGCTGCATGCAGTCGAAACAAACAAAGATCAGGCCTCGCAAGCGGGCCTGTATGGAGATGGCATCTTCTCCGGCATCCACGGTATTAAAGGAATCGAGAGAAGGAAACAGACAGGGCCGGGGATTGAAGGCGTGTCCTCCACTAGGTACCTAGCATACTTATGGAACAACATCCTGGCCCATGCTAGGTATGAACAAGCAGGCTGAGCGTGCTTCGCAAACGAACATGTACAAGGCCTGAGGATCTAGGTAGTGTAGACTGAGTCAACACAGCCTTTCTTCTCAGTTATTCTTGTTGCGACACCCACTCAATCCACCACACCACTTACTACATTACATACCTAGTAAGTATGCTACTGTCAGTAGGTAGAGTGGGCGGGCATCAAGTGTGAACAGCCAGCGAAACCCACGCGAGCTACTAATAGGTATGTACTTAAATATACCACATTCACGGCCCCATTCTCTGCTCATTACACCAAGCACACAAGTCATTTGGCCTCGGCCCTGACAAGTATCACTTATTTAGTGGATCTTGCAGGTGTACCTTTAGAAGTGCAGTAGCTCCCTCCAAGAATTCATAAATACACTCCTTTCTATACAATTTTTTGTTTCTTCCATCTACTACCGTATGTATGCATACCTATACCTAGGTAGTTATATCTAAACAGGTATTCACGGTTAACGGTTTGGCAGAATCACACCTATCCCTGGACAGCTCGCGTGGGTATTCCGTTAGGTATAGTAAGTGCTTGTAATAATAGGAAGACTTGCTTCCATCGTGGTATGAGAACCTCGTCGCCTGCGCTCCATGCTACCTATCCAGGTACTACTAGGTATTAAATCAGGACGATGGAAGTAAGTATGCAGTCTGTACTTGCATATAACATATAACGAAGCATGCCGTCCCCTTTCTGCCCTTTCACACTTTGCAGGGGCTCCGCACGGTCGGAAGCCAGTCAGATGGACACAGCCTAGGGTTACCTTTGTGATGGAACCGCCGTCGGGTTAGAAGCGTCCCTAGCGTCCCTAGCGTTACCGAGAGATGTAGCCTGGTGGATCCCAGTATTTTTGGCAAAGAACGGCAAGTTTATGGCCGCGAGAGGTGGCCGCTTGAGTCGTGACCTGCTCTGACCTGCACAACCCACCCGAGCCACCCTTTTCCCTGGTGCCCCTTGTATGCCCTTGTGCCCTTTTGCCCTTTTGCATCCTGCCTCACCCCTCGTCAATGTCTCATCACACACCCTCCTTTCTGCTCCTCCTTTCTCGTCCCTGCGAGGCCGGCTTCCCACAGTCAGCGCCTCGATCCCTGATGGCCCTGACGGCCCTGATGACCCATATTCTCTGTCTCTGTCTGTCCATAGCAAATCGAGACATGGGGTAGAAGCTACCAGCACAGAGTGATACGCACACGTCACCCGTTCCGTCGTCATCACACTCCCCTATTAAGAGTGAGCCTGTCCTCTGCCACTCTCTTTGCACCCCTGCTGCGCTTGACGCTAGCACAGGTCCCCCGCCAACCCCTACCCTCCTTCTCCTCCTCCTCCTCCTTCGTCCCGCATTGTTGTCCAGTGTCCACAGCAGCCATTCGGACGGAAAGGTACTAGCAGTGAGGCTTGGGGGCCAGGGATTCCATCGGTAGGGAATGTCTTTGTCCTGTCGACTTGTTCCAAAGTTCGTTCCTCTCGTCGACTGGGGACTACCTAGGCTAGCGTGATGCTGCACCTTCTCCGTCCGGACGAGACCTTGAATGCGAGGGCCATACTGTCTGTTAAGAGTTGAAAGCCCTTTTTTGCAACCTCCCCTAGTCTAAACCCACTTACACACACCAACGCTACCATCGCCAAATCCGCCCGTCCCCGGCCATGGATCGTAGGCACAATGAATGAGGATCCTTTTTCTGTCCTACACTAGCACTAACTGTACCTACCTGAACCATGTACTATGGTACTATGTAGCAATCTCGTTAGATCCCTGCCGGAACCATGACGCAGAAAGAAATGTCCCGACGAACCGCCATACAGGTGAAGCAGATACATGAGCACATTGGCGTACGCATGCCAAAGAGGCCAATGTCTCTAAAAGCGTATTGCTTCTCGGCCCTACCACCCCAATATAATCCTCCTTGATACCGCTTAGCATCAACGGCGTTTGTCCCGGTATCCATTTAGTGTGTTCTTGATGATCGTATCCTTGATATCAAAACACACACAGCATTCTTGGACTAGCTACCTTGTGTGTATGCATACGCAGTCTTAAACATTTCCCCTCGTCCTGCTTTCAGTACATAACATCCCACTCTATCCTTCCCAGAGCCATTTGCTTGGTTTATTTCTCCAGCATCCTATTGAGCAAACATAACTTGTTTACTTCAATGTATGAATGAAAACACGTACTCTACCAACAACACCAGCTACCCAACTCTACCTTTCGACAAAATGATGCCCTCCGTCTATGGGGCGAGCATGCCACAGACGACACCGCCTACGTGCACAAATCAACCTATGATACTAGACGACTTCTCAAGACAGCAACCAGCTTTTCCAGACTCATCTCGTAGGGCATCTCGTCACATCAATGGACAATGGGGGACGGGTCCCATGAGGGTGGTGAAGCCTAGCAGTGCCAACAACAGCCCACAGTCTATGATGTCTAGAAGGAGGACGTTGATGAATGACAACAACATGGCCCGGCGACGCCAGCAGGCTCTGGATCAAGCCATTCTACAACAAATGCAAGATAGATCTTCATACTATACAAATCACCAAGAGCCAGTCAGACAAAATACTCGCCCTGTTAGCTGGCATCCGACCTCGCATATCCCAACTGCACCGCAGATGCATATGCCTACATCTCAAACTGACTACCACCAATTCACTGTGGCCATACCCACGCAATTCCACACGAAGGAGTATTTCGCCGGATACCAAAATCTGCCACCAACACCGGCGGCATATTCTGGGCATACCTCGCCAGTATCTGGCTACTCTCCGCTGCTGCCATACGGCTCAGTAACACAGCCTACTGCCTTGCCGGCATATATGGGCACAGATCCAGTAGGCCCAGAGTCGCATATAGCACCAGACTACTTCCACTCCAGTGGCAGTCCTGATATGGTTGGCGATATATCATACAACAATCAAACTTCTTTTGATTGGCACACATACCCTTCTCATGGTCTACAATCTTGCACAGCGCCCCCCACTCCGGAAGAGTTCCAAAGAGTGCATGAGCCGCAATCGGTGCCGTCAGAGGAGTCGATACCCTATCAACCACTTGAGGAACCTGAGAATGATGAAGAGGAGGGAGAGATATTAGTCGGTATGGGCCTATACGATCTACCAAGCAAAGCAGATACAGACCCGGAGTTGGATCACTACCGCACAACGACATCACAATTTCTAGACTCGACATATCGCAGTGGCAAAGGTTGGAAGCTTGAAGAGGCCTGGGAGCCTCCTGCTACAGACGATGAAGACGCAGAGGAAGACGCCGATGGCGAGGATCAAGAGGAGGATTCAAACAGTACGGAGTCACCGCCAGCACAGCAGTCTTGGATATGAGGGCAACGTTCAACGTCACCTTCTGCTATGCTCATGACGACTCATGAAATTTTGGGACTTGCATAACAAGGGCGATGTACACAAAAACTGTAAAATATCTAAAAGAGCTTCCTGGACTAGAGATAGTGTTGCAATAAGCTAGCCCGCACTTCTCTCTAGTATGGATCAGCAAAAAAAAAAAATGAAGAAACCTAATTCTATTCAAAAGTTTCTTCACTTGTAGTCTCCTTGTGATAGTTTCTCTGGAGCTAGGCGATAATAACTCTCGTATACTAAAGTTCATTAGAGGTAGCAGCTATGTTGGCTACGGCCTATTTCTAGAACCTGCATAGTTAGTACGTTGGTAGAGATGGATTTTACCTACTCAGTAAGCCGCGGCGGCTAGTGACGTTGACCAAGCTGACGATAGTCAACTGTGGTATAATTTCAGAAAAGCTATTAGTCCACATGTGGTGTGGTGTAGTCAGTCGGGCGTACATAGCTTGAGCTTGCATGTATTGAAGTAGCTTCGTACCCCACTCTAAATACAACCTTCACTGATCCTAGTCGCGATGAGGCAAAAGGCAAAGGGACGTGATGGTGTCTACCTACTGTGCTGTGCACTACCTACGTAGCAGTAGCGTGATGCAGTACTATTACATGGTACACACGACAATCCTGCAGAGCCCCGGTTCTCTGGTGCCCTTTGCCAAACCCTTGCCACCCTGAACTACCTACCTAGTATCAAAGCGTGGGTTGCTCGCGCAGAGCTTGCGGCCCTATGGTAGTACCTAAGTATCTAAGTAGTGTACTCTAGGTACTGGTCATGTAATGTAAATTCCAAGTCACTTGCCATTTGCCCTAGCAATTCATGGTTGATGTACATAATTCCAATCTCTGATTACAATCTCTATGATCTATTTTCCGAGGGATGGTTACATATGCGCCAATATTCTATTATATATCCTTATACGCTTAACAAGTAAGAAGTTACCCGAATGTACAAGTAGGTAAGTACTGACTGAATTAAGTGTACCTGTAAGTACATACTTACCTAGGTAGATGCCTGTTTGAGTAGCGGCAACCATCAACGTGGGGCAGCAAGGATTAAGGTTTTGCCTTCCAGTCCAGAAACTTCATACTTTTTTCCTCTGCTCTTCCTTGAAGACAAGATGTGGATCCAATGAAACCCATTACCGGCCAGCATCTATTTGCCCCAGCCCTTACAAAAAAGAGCTGGGCACAAGGAGGCAGGTGGCAGGTACTTATAGGTAAGTACTACTAGAGCTGGGGGTGGTATGCAGGCTACTTCTGTAACACTTCGTTTTCAGTTGCACTACTGCACATGTAGGTACCTAGTACATTCATTATTACCAGCTGTACTGGGATGTCTGTTAGCAATTCCAACTCTCAACTCCTCGTTTTGTTTACCTGCATAGGCAAACCCCCCAAACCCTAAACCCCGGTCTCTTCTGGAACGCCACGTCCATACTTAGGATTACATAGTAGGTATAACATCGACACATGCATTCTGTAGGCACTCGAAAGTGTTCTTCCTTCTTTCTTGTTCAGGAGCCTACAAGGGAAAGGTGGGGGTCGGCGTTTCTGCACGTGCCGTTGTATCATCATGCTTCGTTATTTCGACACTATATAATACTCTCTGGTATCTACATCGTCGGTATACTATGTGTAGGTACGTAGGTACTGTAGGTTGATATATCATATGATTGATTCATGGCTCCTTGATATCACCGGTCCCTTCGCTACCACTTACTGGCTGACTCGATTCATACACGTACTGACTTAGACCTGCAACCCTCTCTACCTACCCTGCGCCCTGTTTCGCGGCCATGGCCGACCACTTGCTTGAATTGACAATATCGTGATGCTACCTACTTACATAGTACTTTTCACTGGCCACATTACTACCCAAGGGACCTGACTTATCCCGTTACACGTAGTATCTATGGTACCTCTTGTCCTCGGCCTACCACAGTACCCTGCCATAAGGACTGTAATGCACGCGCTGACCGACAACTAACTTGGTTGCTCATCCGTCTTACCTACCGTACTGTACTCATCCACCCGTTCATCCTTCTATCCATCTGTTCAGCCATCCAGCCCATATATCCACCGAGGGCACTTTAGTGCAGACACTTTCCTTTCTCGCCTTTGACTCCGCACCCTCCCTTTTGATTCGCACACATGTACATGCTTGGTAGGTACGGTACTGAAAAGTGCTACAGGAGTGCAGGTAATCGATCTCCTACGAGGTTTGTACGTACCTACTTACACGTACGGAACGTACATACAGGAGAAGAATGCTGCACCACATTCGATGCATACTTCGACCCACCATTTCACCTGATAAAATGCCAACCACCAACATGGAACGATAATCAATCAATTCATTCATCCACTCACGCCCCCCCTCCCTCCCTATGCTACTCGTCACGCTATCAGCTCGGGGCGCCAGCATCTGCAAATACTCGCTTACCAAGTACGCTTGCGTCACATGTCAAGATCCTTTCTTTAACTATTCCGATCGTTTGCTGCCTGATCCTTTCATTTTGCATCAGATAACAGTTAATACTGGTAGGTAGGAAGCAGCTGAAAGACGTAAACTTGGCATAGATATGGATTCATGAGCCTGGCTAGCTCATCCTCTACTATGTACTAAAAGGAGTGATATACTAAACCGAAGTACACCATCCGCTTGGATCAAGAGTACGTACATAAGTAAGGCTTCTCTGTTCCGTTTGCGTCATTGCCTATGTATATCTGCCTATCTAATGTATGATAAACTATTACAGGCATAGACCCTTCTCAAAACCCCGGGGCCAAGTATTGTGCGGATATCATGAATTTTTGGTGGTACGCACTCGCTAAGGTTCATATCTACACCTAAAGCAAAGTGAAGGCGATGTCTGTCTCATCTGTCAAGGACTACGGGTCACTCGTAATACTTTGTGGGGATATGCAAAAACTTGAACACATTTGCATTTGCATATCTACGACATCCATGCCAGCACGTATTCTTATTGTAGTACTTGGGTACTTCACGATCCTCGCTCTGGTTTGCTATTGCATACTTACGTGTAAGTGTAGGTACCATGTTAGATTGGATATTCCCATTTCCATACGACACGACACGACAACGATGCTCGGTGTTTCTAATGCCGCCTTGGAAACCCCGCGCGCGCCCGCGTCGGCTTGCCACTGTCCATCCAACCCTCGCAACACCCAATGAACAGTTTCGACTCATACTTGGCAGCAAAGCTCGAAAGACTGGCTGTCAACCCCCTGCTTGCAGAAACTCGTGGTGGGGTCCACGTCTCTGTAAAGGCGTTTTACTACATGCACTGCTGGGGCAGGTTATTGCGAGCATTTTACTCGCCACTACCACCACAGCTACTTATGCATGCCCATAACCGGCTGGGCTGGAGAGATAAATTCTCTGATCAGCTGACAACTCGCTTAGGTGTATGGCAAACAAAGCATCCATTGCATGAACTCGCATAATTCTATATATCCGGTTCCTAGAGCGTTACCTACCTACCTACTGTAACAGTGCCTAGTTTATCGCTCAGCAAAGGATTTAGCCTGGGTGGCCTTTGCGTCGCGTCTTGGTCTTCTCTACCGGGGCCTCTGCTCCCATCCCTGCGGATAATTATACTTGCCGTCTCTAAGTAAGTATACCTACTACCTATTAGGTCACATCCCCAAGCGCCTGGCAAGGTCTGGCGCACGGTCAGCATCAAACAGCAGGGCAGTTGGTGCCACTAGATGTTCAGGATGGCTATACGACGTCTTCCGTCCCCTACATAAGTACGTGTAGAGGACACTACTTCCCAGTCTAGTCTATCATCCGTTCAGAAGGAGGAAGGGTCTTACGGACGGATGCCTGAAAACTGGAAAGAAGAACAGGCTCGGAACATCTACGCAAAGGCCAGGGGCTTACTCGTACCAAATTTACGCATTTCACATCGTGATAACCGACCCACGTGGCTTCTTGACTTCATATGCACACAATGTAAGTGCATACCGGTGGACATACGAAGTAGCTATGGCTAGTTACTTAGTACGTGTACATGTCCAGTAGCCAGCCGGCGCTCTCCACCGCTACAAAGTACACATACCGCTACCTGGACAAACTGAGATTTGGCACAGCATTAGCATTGCTGGTTGCCAGTACATACGGGCAATTGGTCATGCAGCACAGATCCCGACACTGCACTGCCGACCACCCAGCCAACCATAAGTACTGTAAGGACACTCAACTGCAGACAAGCTAGTGCCTAGATGGACTGCGTGCCGTAGTGTAGCAGTTCAGCAGATCCTATATGTATATGTATAATACAATCTCCGAGGCGGAACTTTGGGCTCGAAACGCGAGATCAACAATCGTTCACTGAACCTTGGTGTGAAGGAAGAGGAGGAGGGGGGTACCGGTAGTCTCGGTTCAGCAGGTTGAGCCGTGGCACTGCTACACCTACACTACACTACTCAAGTAATAGGCACCTAACCTAGCAGTGTGTCATTCTCGGCACTATAAACCAACCAGCCTCGTAATGCTCGGCTCATCCTTGGAGGAGGAGCAATGCCTGTGTACCTAGCTGAGAATTCTTCGGCTGGTCGATTATAGATCATACATAGCACATACAGTAGGAGGGGTGGGCAGTGTATGATTTGCTGTAGGTCTGTCTCCTAATCTCACTGCAGTATAGATTCGCCGATCAATGCTTCGAAACGTAAATACCACTCAGATAGGTACTACGGCACGCTGCCTAGCCGGTAGAATGAACATGGAAGAGAGACCAAGTATGTGTCAGTGAGTGCAGTACACACCTGGTATGCCTCCTTTACTATGTAGATATTCTGCCAGGAATTGGTAACGAGGTCTAGAACATGAGATGCCGTTCTACCTAGTACGCGTACTATGGATATATTTACATGCAAGTACTACTACGTATGTTACTTAGTTGAGTACAGGAGTGTACGCTCATGGTGTATAATCAAGGAGGTTATCACCACTTCTAGTACCTACTGAAGCCAGCCAGCCTTCCCACATCGATATAGGTATATAGGTAGGTGGTAATGTGCTATGGTAGGCAGAAGGCGCTAGTGTAGTTACAGTAGTGCCTACGACAGATGCTAGCATCGCTGTGCCCTAGGGTGCAAAAATAAAAATCATAGCGCGTCTTGAGCGAAGTACTTGCAAATGGCGCATTTCCCAGTCAAGAATGTGGTACCGACGTATGGACCGGCTAGCAAAATTCCATTAGCCTCACGGCGATTCGTGGGGCAGCTACAGTAGTACAGCAGCTTGGGCATTTTCAAACGTCTTTTTCACTTTATTATGTATGTACTATGTACATGTATCACCTGCGCCAACACCATACAATAATGTACACGATGTAGCCTCAGTAATTGCCTACACTACTCACGAAGTACAATACCTAGTATAGCGCTCTGCATGTTGGAGGAGTCCCACGCTGCGCTAATGAATGACTGGGAGCCAACGCCCGAGCGATGTGGAAGGGGTGAGAAAAACACAAGCGAGAGACTTGCAATGTTTGGTAGACCGACCGCATATCCCAATCAGAGGTTTGAGATTTGCCATCGGCCCGTCCGTTCTTCTCCAAGTCTCAAATTCCGTATCTAGACGCTGGCCTCATCTAAAACATTGTCAATCCCAAAAGATCCCAGCGCACTCGAGCCATGGTCCAGTACATCCATACGCCCTGGCGGGACGAGGAAGAGCTATTGCGAGTCCGTCAGCAATTCTATCCCTCGTCGTCACCATCCTCATCATCATCATCATCATTACCACCGTCCACTTACGCCACTACCACATTTCATCACATTTCCTCTCTCGACCACCGTAGTAAGTTGTGGAATCCCACCGCCGACACCGCCCTATTTGGACTGAGTCAGAGCTGTAACGCGGGACTTTCCAGCTGACGATCCCCGAGGAGACGACGAGGATGCCGGCGGTACGCGCGCTGCCCTAGCCCTGGCCCTGGATGCCGAGAGGCGGCAGCAGCAAGCCGTCTCACGTGTCTCCATGTGGATGCAACGCGGCGGCTGCCCCCACTTGGTAGAGTCGACCGCTCTCCTGACGGCCGCTGTCCTCAGCGATCTCCATGCGTCCAGGACCAAGGCTAATTCGTCTTCGTACGCTATCCGAGCTGCCTACTCAGCTGCGTTTAGTCGGTGTGTTCATTCCCAAGGTTATCTCCGTTTACCTATTTATCCCCTTCCCTTCGTACCACCCCTCCCCACACGACCCCTAACTTGCTCACCTTCCCTTGTGGACTGCTTTTTCTGCCTCCTTCGTACAACGCTATCTATTTACAGTGGTCATGGCGTCAGACGTCTCGTGGTAGCGTCCAACTCTCTCTGGCACGGTGCTCATGCGAAGACACAGTTGGCTAGCCGCTTAACGTATCAATGACCCGTTTCTGCGCTAGAAGTCAGGCGTCAGAAACCCGCCAATTTTTGTCTTCGATGTCACTGTCCTTGCCTTGCAATGCAATGGTCTTGTCCTGTTGTTTTACTCATGCTCTAGCTCAATCCCTGAGTCGAATGCCACTATGGGCCCGCTAATCGTATTCATCACAGTTTTGTCACTGGATTACTAGATGGTCAGCAAGACAAGGCCCGCAAAATGAGCATGTATTCTATAGCAAAGACTATCGGTCTACCGGCAACGTTTGTTGAGCTTAGACACCAAGCTACACACGAACAACTACCCTCTCTTGCGAAGCTCAGGTCAGCCGCTAGTAACGCACTCGCGTGGATCTGGGATTTTTACTGGAAGGACCTCGGCCCTGTAAGCAAAGGAAGTCTGAGAGATGGCGAGGATTCGAACCCACGAGAGGCCTTGCTGTTAGGCTACTTACGTGAACAGGATGAGACCCTGAAATCGGACCTTGAAAGACAGCTAAATTCCTGGGATGAGGCCAGTCTTTTACAAACACTTGCAGATATTACGGAATCTTCAGAAGAGCCACAGGTCATCTTACGAGCTGTTCAGCTTTCACGTAAAATTGTGGGCGGTGGTTTTGGGTTGCCATTAGCAGCATCGACAGCGGGGGTTCCTCGTAAAACCAAAGACTTGGAAGCTATTCGAGTCGAGCTGCAAACCTTGAACGAAGAGCTTGAAGATGTTGAAATGCAGCGCGTAGACCAACCGACAGAGGTATCGAACAAGACAGCTAGTCAGTCGATAGGCTGGTCACGGTACCAGGGCACATGGATACCGAAACCTATAGGCATGGTGTAACCGTTATGTAGGAAATTCGTACGTGTCATAAGCCCGGTTAACAAAATAAGAACCGTATACCTTTAGCAATAGATTTGTACTTTGAGGAACAGTCCGACAATCCTTATAGCGAGCGTGCGCTTTCCGTGTTGCATCAAGTTGTATTCGTATCCGTGATCGTATATTAAATCATTCAAGACCCCCGAGGAGATTTGTGCTATGGTCCAAGAACTCGACCAGAACCATTCGACCTTGTAGACGTCCACTCCTTGTTCCATGATGGATTAGTTTCATACCTAGGTATCTATCAAGCTCCAGGGCATCTGCAAGACAGCGTTGGTAATGTACCAGTCAACTGCTGGTAAGCTTACAAAAACACAACATATTCAACACCATTAGTTACAATTGTACGAAGATATGCAGGGCAAGAAAGGAAAGTATCAGACACCGTCGTGATAGTATCGCGAATACTGATGGATGTCAGAGTGCCGTTCTTAGTATGTCCTGTCCGAGCACCTGGTGGCAGCTGGTGGATACTAGCAAGTGCTCTGCTCACGGTCCGTCCCGAACAGTCGACGTCATCATGATACAGAAGCTCCTCATCGATAGCTCCTCGCAGCTGGGAAAGCTCTCATAGGTAGCTCTCCACAACTCACAGCATTCGTGTGTGTAATTCCAGCAACCCCATTTGTCAGCAGGGAACAGACGTGCAATAACGACAGGCAAAATACTATTTTGAGATCAAAGAGGGGGGGCAGACAACAACCATCATATTTTTCTATCCTCATGAATATCCTTGCAAGAGCCACCTCCAGGTCACGAGCTTTTAAGACCGCAAACCTTAGATCATTGAGTGCAACTGTGAGTTCATCGACATGTCGGTTTTTTCAGCTCGGATGAGCCGGAAGGTATAATTGGAGGGGTTGCTTGGGACTGTCCCTCCAGGTCCTCAACTATCCAGATGACTAACGAGATGTCTTCGGTTCTCTAGCTCGCATCATCACGCACCATGCATATCCAGTCTATTCCTATGTGTAAGTGCATAGACACGTTTATTCAGGGTCGTTGATAGGATTTATTTTCTTAGATCATCCGCGTAGTACTATTTGATGGGGCTTTCAGAAAGAGACGGTTGGACATCAGAATAGACGCATCTACCTTATGTACTTGAACATCGTACCCATGCTGATAGCGGCTTGTTACAGGGACGGGGACGAGTGATAACTACGCGTACCTCGTCGTTGATGATAAGTCTAAAGATGCAGTCATTATCGATCCCGCCCATCCCGAGGAGTAAGTAGTTAAGAACTTTTTGGACCTCTAACTTCGCGTCACGTCTTTGTGCCCTCTTTATGAAGCTTATAAGATGGGGGAGCTCCTGAACTCGGCTGACATAGAGCCACAGAGTTGCCCCTGTTTTGAAGGAGGCCACCCAAGCCGGAAAGATCAAGCTCACAGCAATTGTCAACACACACCAGTGAGTTTTAACCTAGAGCGCTTCTCCGTTGCTTGAGGTTGTTTACGAAAGCCATTCATAGCCACTGGGACCACTCCGGTGGAAATAAGAAGTTGTTGGCTGAACTCGGCACACCTGACCTTCCTATCATCGGTGGCAAGAATTGTGAAGCAGTCACGAAGACACCTGGCGATGGCGAGTCCTGGAGCATTGGGAGTATTGCTGTAAAGGGGGTCTATACGCCGTGCCACACTCAAGACAGTATCTGCTGGTTTATGCAAGACGGAGACGACAAGGCTGTCTTTACTGGCGATACACTGTTTCATGGGGGTAAGTCTGTGTTTTTCGCTAGAAATGTCGATTGGCGAAGATGCGGGAACAGGATATAAGGGGATTGTCACTAAACTACGGTACTTGCAGGCTGCGGAAGGTTCTTCGAGGGAAATGCTGAGGAAATGAATACCGCCCTGAACAAGACTCTCGCCTCTCTGCCGGATGATACTAAGGTTTACGTAAGTTCATGGTTTATCGCTCCTCTCATTATGCGCATGGCATTACACCTATATCATGTCTTACATGCTGACTATTATAACCACATAGCCTGGGCATGAATACACCAAGTCGAACGTCAAGTTCGGCATCTCGGTACTTCAGAATGCGGCCATTCAAAAGCTACAAGCGTTCGCGGATAGCAACAAGGAGACACAAGGGAAGTTTACAATTGGGGATGAGAAGGTACGCTGAACGAAATCTGCACATCCGAGCACTACATGAGCTAACATTTTCTTTAGCAACATAATGTATTCATGAGAGTAGAGGTAATTACCATGATTAAATCACAAGATTGACATTCGGGAACCTGCATGGCTGATCATCTCCCTACATAGGATCCCGAGATCCAGAAGGCTACTGGTAAGACGGACCCCATCGAGGTCATGGCTGCGTTACGGGACATGAAGAACAACTTCAAGTGAGTAAGTATGGAGTCTCGGGTCCTCCACCTAATGTGCATTGACTTATCTGCTTGTATGTAGGGCACCGGCCGAGAGCAAGATATAGGTGCGAAGATGTGGCACGGCATTCCCGGAGGCCAATAAGCAAAGGGGGGTTTCCTAGATCCGAATCAACGCATAGCCATTCTAGTTTAGTACATCTGTGATGACCTGCCGCAACAAATAAACGTGTATCATGAGCACATCTCATTTGGCCTACGCATCCGTGGTGTAATACACGGGCTTGAATTTGAGGATATGTCTCACGGTATTTCTGCTCAGGGAGCAACTGCCGCTGTGAGAGACGTGAAGATTTGCGACATGTTATAGCATCTGTCTCATGGCTTGTTCATAATGGTTACTACATTGACACCATCAAGATCAGCACTGCAATATTATCCAAGTGCAGGAGCTCGCTACGACTTATATAAGACCTAGGCACGGGAGGCTATAGGTTTTTGTCCATGGAAAGGTTTCAACAGAAGAAAGACAACGAGGAACCATTTGAGACCTGTCTCAGCGCTCACTCTAGATGGGACTCCGTTCGGCCGTTTGGCGGGGGATGGATATTTGTATGACAGCCCGCTCACTGTAAATAAGCACAAGCGGAACTCAGCGTACGTAATCCTTACTTCGGGGATCGCAACGGAACTCATACCTACCTACCTAATTAACATGGTAGAGCCTGGAAGATCATGACGGGAATGCACTCCGAAACAGATGTAATTAGACGATGTCTTTGTGCTATATTACACAATACACAAACTGGTATGTTTGCGTTGATAGTGACACACCACCAACCAGTGGAGCCACCATCTGCCGTTGTGTCAGTTTGCATCGCTTTAGGTTCAGGTATACCGTACGGTCTACTCGTTAGGTTGAAGTCATACAGAGACAGAGCGGCGGTGTCATCAGGAACACTACTACTGTATCGGGCCTTCTCTGATAGCATCCAAAGTCCAAGGGTACGTGTGGATGTGATAATCATCCATGTCTGAAAAATTTTCATCTCTTTAGTCTCTTATCATAAAGTCACCAGGGGTAGAGTCATGTCACAGACACAGGCATACATCGGCGACAACGCAAACTAGATGTATGCTACCATGGAAGCGGGTTTGGTACTCGCCGAAATTTCGAAAACACCAAGATTGCACAATGTAGCACGTAAAAATGAACAATGTCTCCAGTAAGAATCAAGCCTCCGCTCGTAGAACAAAGCACTGACGCCGCCCCAAGGGGCACAAGATCCTCGCCGGACCCATCGACTGAAATAGTTTTTTTTTCGTCGATGGGGGGTTTTCGATATTGCTTCACTGTCCACACTTGTGCGTCGTTTGAAAATTCGAGACGACAAGCTCTAGCATATTTTGAAGCTGGGTGTAACATATTCCTCCTCTTCCGCTCTATCTCAGATCCGAGACGGATGGTAATATGAGAGTGGTATGATCGATAGACATCGGGGTTCACGTGGGAGGCGCGGTAGTGACAGTCGATTGCTGCGACAGGTACCTACCGTGAGGGAACAATTACAGGCGCTCGTGTGTTTCACCAGGTATGGAGTGAAGGAGTCCTTAGGATATGGATGTAACGCAGGCAGATACAAGCCTCTGTTGCTTTCAACAAGTGTTTCGATAGCTTGGGAGCGTGGCACGTATGCGGATTGAAGAATTTGGTCCTCTCGTGGTTGGGTAAGTAGTGGGAAGACAAGATGAAGAAATGCTCACGCGAAATTTTACTGAAATACCTACGCGCTAAGGAATGAGGGTCCAATCGATTGGCAAACTTGCCGACTGTTGCCAGCTGACGCGTTGCGTTCAGACCGACCTCCTATCATGCTACAGATACGAGCCCAGTGGCTTATGCAGCCAGGTTATTATTATCTTCAGCTGCGATCAAATTGGTGGACGTCCTGAGGGGGCGGGAAAGGATTTGGGGATCGCGATTACTACCGTATTTTGCACGTAGTTTAAGAGAAAAACAAAAATCAATCGTATTGTGAACTCTACTTATAAGAATATTTGCTTTAGCATCGTCATCTTCTTTAGTTGAAGGAGAGCCTGGTTTCTCCTCTTCAACCAGGCGTAAAGCAATGTCGCCTTTTTTGCCGAATCAGAGCTTAAATACGGCTAGATTATGTACAATTTGCGAAAATGCATCCCCATTTAATGATGACCAAGACTTTCTTCGAGAGCATGGAAATACGGATGGTACCGGGCGCCTCGTTGCGTCAGAGGATACCGCAATACGCACGTCCAGAATAAGCCATTTGCGGGATGACACGCTACCTGATTTGCCTCAACTTCATGAATCCTCAAAGAGAGGTTGCGATTTCTGCGGCTTTTTACGCTCCGTCATAACTTGCGATGACACCCAAGATGAGATTCAAAGAGTCTTTGGCACAAGCGGTACTGATGTAGATCCCTTAGAGCTTTCGATTTCCATTCACTTCCGCTGGAAGTACCATTATGAGCAGGATGTTAGAGGAGATGGCCTCCTCGGTGCGATTATACTCCTGTGCTTTGACGATGGGAAGGTCGAAATAGCGCTATTTTGCCTGGCAGAAGGCATATCAGGTCGTCATGATCCCCTCTTCGGCTCCCAGAAGCCGCTTGATGTGCTTGTCAAGTTCTGACGTGAGTAAAGGGTCAGAGACATCCGACGTATGGCTCGGCTTGGCCGCACCGCCTAGCCAAAGATTCTCACAACAACATCGCCTAGACTGGATGGCGCAGATACTTAGCGAGTGCACAGAAAAACACCAGCATGACAAACGGGGTAACAATTTCGTTCCGGAACGGCTCATCGATGTTCAGAACGCCACTCCACGACTGGTCTTGGGTGCCGACGTCGCGATTAGTAAGAGTGGCGCCCAGAAACCGCCATACGTAGCTCTCAGTTACTGCTGGGGACCAGCTGAAGAGTCGAAGAGCCAACTCAAGACCACCACGTCTTCCATAGCCAAGCGCCAGGCCGCGATCCAAGAAGCGGAAATGACCGAGGTCCTGCGGGACGCGATCAAGGTGACCCGGGCCTTGTCAATCCCATATCTCTGGGTCGATGCACTTTGCATTCTGCAAGACGACATCTCAGACTGGGAGCGTCAATGCGCGGATATGGCTCAGCTATACCAGAGCGCACACGTCGTGCTATGTGCTGCATCTTCTGCTTCCTGCCTCCAAGGATTCCTAGGTGAGCGGGGGCACCGTATTCGAATGCCGTTTCAGTCTACCAGAAAACCTTCTATTGTCGGCTCGTACTACCTACATTTCAAATACGCCGGATGGTCCCGTGGTTTCATGTTCAGTGAAGCATCCGCGGATATGGCACACAATCGCTGGAGTAACCGAGGTTGGGTGTTCCAGGAGAGCTGGTCTGCTTCGCGGAGATTGGTCTTTGGGAATTCAAACCTTCATCTGTGTTGTCCTTCGGGAGTTCAAAGCATGGGTAGGGAAAGAGAAGCGAAGAAAGAAGAGCCCGACGAGAATAGTTTATTTCTATCTAGACTCGATACTTGCAGCAGAGAGGAATTATATGCTAGTTGGGCGTCCCTCGTCCGCAAGTATTCAAGGTTCGAAGATCACTCCTTCACGAAGGCCACGGACCTTCTTCCCGCTCTCTCTGGTCTAGCATCGAAATACCACGAGTATAACCAAGATAAATATCACGCTGGGCTCTGGGGCGAAGATCTATTCCGCGGGTTGATGTGGTATTGGGATGGAGACAGCGAAGAACTGCCAGAACGACAATGTTGTGCTCCAAGCACGTTCATGCGCCACAATGAGTTCTCGGTTCCATCATGGAGTCCGCTAGCGCGCGGCTCATTCGTGACGCATGGTGCAATTTATAAAGACGACGAGTGCCTTGCAAATTTCCAACCGGAGTACACAGCTCTGGAAGCCAGGACTGAGCCAGTTGGTGCCAACCCCTTCGGTGCTATACGGGATAACTGGTCACTTCGCATCCACAGCTACGTGCTGGATCTAGCAACGCTCAACCCGCAAAAGCTCGAAGTCTCCGAGGACTTCGCTGGCGGTGAGGGCTCTAGGGGAACCCTGATATATGAAGGTAAGCACCTCGGATGCTTCGAGCTGGATTTCGTGTACGACGCGGACGATAACTGTTACAATATGGACTGCGTGAATGCGCCTGCTTGCATGCTAGATGAGATTTCGCGCTTCCGTTGGGTCCTTCTCGGGAGCTGCAAGGTGAGAGGTAATGATGAAAACCCAGAAAGACTGAGACGAGCTCGCGGGGCGTGTGGGCTAATTCTATTCTCGCCGCCTGGGTCTGATGCGCTCCACCGCGTGGGTGTGTTTCTCCCTGGCTTGCCGGAGAATCATCACGACGGCTTGCGTCTGCTTAGAAAGCTTGGTGAGATTAGGACAATTGTTGTTACTTGATTTTACACTGATCATCTCACTTGGAGTGAGCTTAAGTTGTACGACCATGTATTGGCGCTATGGATGTGTAAACCATTCAACAAGTGAATTTGGAATGCTCAATACGGAGTACACGCATTTCAGCTTTCCCACAGAAGAGAATATGCTAAAGGCTATGACTTGAATGCTAGTATGTGCCTTTACGATAATCCCCCTTAATTGAGAGATGAAATCCGCAACATCGGATGGCACTGCCTTTGAGCATTGATGTGCAGTGTGGGTGTGTCAGGTAACATTCGATCCGGTATCGGGAATGTCGGGAATGCCTAGCTTGACTGAATCGGCTTGGGCCCTTGAGCTAGCATCCTTCCAATTCACCATCTCAATACACTATAGGTAGACCACATCGTTCAAAAAAGGGAGGAGTAGAGATGCGGACAACAGTAGCATGTGAGCGGTAAGTCGTGGGTTTATATACGCGATGGGATCTTTCCCGTAGCGCGCTGTACTAACTCGAGACTCAGGTGTAGGTACGTGCGCATATCTCGCGTTTCCCAGCTGACGGGCGATTCCCGAGCCGCGAAATCTCAAGGTGGCAAAGATCATCGCTAATACGCTAGCATAAAGGAGATCCAAAGTGAAATGCCACCATAACGGTGAATCACCCTGTCGTGGATGTCTAAGGAGCGGCAACTCGGAAGCCTGTGTTCTCACGCCGACCGCCGTCACCATCTCTACCCCGAGAAAGAGGACGTCTTCACAGACATCCCCGAACATCAGGCCAGCGGCCAAGAAGCGCAGTGCGCCGACTAATGTGGCACCTACGAGCGACGAGCTCGCTAGTCACTTTGCAGGGATAGACGCTAGCATCTTCGCACAGGCTTTCGCTATCATCCGTGTGCAATTTCCCGAATGCGGGTTTCTTCATCCATCTGACCTAGAGCGTGTCGCTGGCGATGTATCCGACGATGACAAGCTGAGGCTCATCGCCATCCTCGCCGTCAGCTGCAGGTATCTCGGGGAGACTGTTGACCAGCATCGAGCCGACCATGTTGCGCTGCTAACTCGGGAGCTACAATGTCGTATCACCGCCCCGCCGAGCCTGAGTCTGATTCAGTGCTTTCTCATCATGGCGGTCTACGAATGGGGTGAGGGTATAGGATACAGTGCTTGGATGTATGCGGGAATCGCCGCTAGGATGGCGCAGGTTTACCGAGCTACAAAGACCAGTGAGCGAGACTCGAGGCCAACAGCTAATAGCAACGGCCCTGTCTTGTCTGAAGTGGAGATCAGGACCATGTGGACGTACTTTGCCATAGACAAACTGCTCAGTTGTGGCAAACAACGGCCGGCCATGATGAAGCCTGAGGATATCGAGGTCCGTATGCCGCAGAGTGAGGAGAATTTCGTTTTTGGGATAGAACCGGAAGAGTCACTCAGCTATGAGGATCTTATGAGAGATAGCTCCCTTCGTAAAAGGACTTCTAGCGCCGGATATCATTTTTGCATTCTTGGTGCGTTTTACTGTCTTCCATACGTAGCCCTCGACCACCTTTGTTTCAACTCATATGGTTTGGCAGGTTGAGCGAAGCTGAACTGAGAGTGTATAACGGGATATCTAACACGTTTTTTGTATACAGTGAGAGGTCTCGACATATGGCATAAGATCCATAGTTGGATAGTTGACGGAGGCAGGAAGCAACCGCGAATGACACAACCGGAGAATTGTCCGTGGAACCCGACTTCACGGTGGGCAAAGATAAGGAAGCAGTTGCTGGCATGGAGAGAGGACCAAGATCCGAGACTGATGTATCCGCAAACGAAAGTAGCGATTCACGTCCATTTCAGACAAGGGGAAGTTTTTGCTTACATCAATTTGCTCTATTACCTTTGGTAGGTTCTCTCCACGAGCACCATACCAACAACGGACTCTAATAACCCTTAACTAAAAGTGTCATCTTTATGCGCCGGGAATACATAGGCCTTCTACCCATCGGCCAACGAGAGCCAAAGGGACCTATCGACCCCCCATTCTACTCAGAAGAGGCACCGCCAGGGTGGTGGCGCGAGAATACCGACGAGCTCTTCGGAGCGGCGGCGCAGATATCATACATAATGCGGGACCTAAACAGCCTTGATATTCAACTTCACACACCCTTTACTGGCCTCTGCGTGTTCACCGCCGCGTTGGTTAGTATACTCAATCTCTTTCTTCTTCCCCTAGCATGCTCCAAGCACAAGATTTGGCTATCCATGATTCCCGAGCCTTTATTCTTCTTCAAATCACTTTGTCATCCATTTCTCTTTTTGATCTCTTATATCACAACTGGCAAAATACTAACTCAACACTCTTAAGATGAACCGCTACGTCGTGACATTTCCTCACATGCATTATCCCGAGGAGCGAGAGCTGCGAGGACAACTAGCCGAGGAGAACCTAGCGGACCTCGAAAAAATCGCAAAGCTATGGAAATTAGGGGAGGAATGGGTACAGGTCATCGGCGCGGCTCAAAATCTCTATGACAGGCTCATGAGCAATTGCGCGCAATCCATCAGTTCGTGCCGCTGCGACTATCCCGAGCTAGAAAAGTCTGTCTACTTTGCGCCTATCGGCGGCCTGTACAGCGACAAGCGCGATAAGCGCGACGATGCGCGACGACGTCCAGGCACGCGGCTCCAAGCGCTCGAGGCCTCCCTAGTCCCCTTGTGCGCGTGCTCGTTGACGAAGGGCCGGGAAACGGAACCGTCGCAGGAACAGCGGGGGGAGCAGCAGCAGCAGTCGTCAGATCAACAGCCTGCGCTGGACACCTTTGCGTGGCCGGACGCGGGCATCACTGGCGACGATTGGCGCCTCTGGTCGTTCTGGGATGACCCTCATCTTCTGTCTTGGGACCCTTCCGCTATAGGACTCTGAAACGACAGGGTGCTTCGACAGCAGTGATGAATCACGACTCACTAACTAAACTATACGGACAGCAAGATAGATTCCCGCATCCGTCATTCATAGTGCTTGTCACAGTGGTAGAACACGTAGTGAGAACCATGGCGCTATATCTTCCCGAAAACGGCACTTTGTTGAGCGTCCGGGATGGAAAAGTACGGGTATGAATTCGGGAGATCTGCGAATATACATTCATATAATCATATAGTTGAGATCGCCGGTCAGGATCTGGACTATCAAACTCTAATATCGGATGTTGTATATATACCTATATATCGGGGGTGATCTCACAAAGCAGTCGTTGCAACTTGCCTGATTAAGTGTGTGTGGTGTGTGTGTGTGGGTTGGGATAATTACGCCGATGATCTAGGTGTGAAATGCGCCGAGGGTGTGACCTTTCAACCTTCCCGACCAATCAACAATGCGCATATCCCTTTGTCGAGTATATCATAAAGGACAGATCGACCTTATTCCTCGAGTGGTGTGGTGTGTTGTCAATATTCCATCCGACTGCCCCTGGGGATGCCCGGAATGAGACTATGGTGCGTGCTGTACACTACAAACTGATCGAAAAGATCTTTGAGTAGGCATGATGAGATACGCAATCTACCCAATGCATAGCGTCGATTTGAGAGGTTTTACTTGACTTGGCTTCGATCGGGTAACTCTCTTCCCTAAGGCTACGTGGTGTGTATCGGCGTTTCACGATGTACTGTTTAAGCTTTATCCCCGAATCGTCGATCTTCTCCTGTGACAGATTCTATGGACCACCGGCCGCCCACTGTCGACGATATCCACAGACAAGCCAGTTCGGCTTTGGAGAAAAGACAATGTTCGAGTTTACTAACCTCGGGATTTATGACTTCATCATCTGCAAGGCTTAGACATCTCATCCATTGCATCAAGTTGTCTCTAAGAGTCACACAGTCTTTTCAGAAGACATGCCTTGAGAACATCGTGAGCACGGATACCTTGGTAAAGCATTCTTGTCATCTGCTTGGTGACTCGGAGATGATTACTTAAACCTGGCCTATAAAAGGGGAAAGCTGGGTTATAGCAGAAGTATTATTGGCAGCGCAGCCGTCCTGAGCAAGCATGATGTTGCGATTACCAGGACTAGGTTCCTTACCTAATCTGGGGATCTCACGAGAAGGGACGGAAACCTATTTACGCATAATTCATCTTCTTTCTTTACAGCTGGGTTTAGTGCCTAGACTAGTCTAGTGCAACACGGTGTGTTTGTTCGAGGCACGTGTAGTGTACGTGTCTTTGCGCGATCGTGATATAGAGATGAGTTTAGGCGGCCGCCGAAATACGGAGGGAGAGTTTCGCGAGGGGGGGCTAAGCTGAGCGGTCGGCGAAAGAGCGTTGCAGAATCTGGGCACGGGATAGCCATACACAGGAGTTGGACAGCAAATCTCTCTCCCGTGTCCTGCTAAAGTGCTTGCATCTTGGGCCGTGAAATCATACACTGCCTAGATTACTGTACGCGAATAGTGTCCGTTCGCATACGTCGTGATATGATGGGCTCTTGAAGGGCAGGTTTTACATAGACTGATTGTTTACATGATGGTACATAGCTCCTCGTATGAGTATTTCCCGTCTGCCTATTATCCTACTTTAACACGTAGAACGGCATTGCCATAGCCCGGGACCACAAGCGTCCGTGCGTGTGCTCTAGTGTAGTGTGTAGTGTGCGATAGCTTGTGTGGAATAGGTTTGAGAAGAGCTTCAGCTGTTCCTTCTATCGGTATTCGTGTCTTGCTGTCATTCATGCTTGCATTCTGACCAACCGATCAGAATCGCGAGAAAGATCTGGAACGATTCGATGAGTAGTCTGGAATAATAATGGGAAATGGGCTTCGCGATATGCGCCCAAGCCTTATGCGTCACAGTAGCTAGCTGGCTTACTTGGCATGAACATATATCACGCCTTCGAAGGCTATAGGACGTTGTGATATATCGTGAGTGCAAACTCCATGGGGATTGTCCGTCGCCTAAGGAGAGATCGCAATAAGTGTACACGTCGAGTGCTGCTGCTCATCTCACTGCAGAACGCCACCCCGGGGCTCGAAGGCTGGGGAACATGCCATTACCAGAAGCGTTTGATCTTCCGGGTTACCGTTTCGATAGGCTCCAAGACCTTTAACACGGGGGTACCGGTAGGATGTGGATGGTGGTCTATATTCGATAGAGGCGGGCTATAACATCACCGCGTCACCGCTGCTTCGATGTTTTCCCCCTTGATTAATCTGACCTATTGTTGAGAGATCTGGAGACAAGCAGCCACAACGTAACACACCAACGGAGCGACATGGCATCTCATGACAGCTACATGGCTGGTTATTTACTGCAGGATATGCCAGCCCCGGACGGGCTGGCTGAATAAACTACCTAGGTAGGCATTTGAGGGCGGCAGTGCGGGCCAACCTCCTCCACGAACTATGGATGCGCAAATCTACCTAGTCCGGGGTATATATACCCTATATACCCTATATGCCTAGTTGTATAGGTATGCGCTGCTGAGCATATTGCAACCGTCGCAGAGAATATTGTACGGTAGTTCGAGGCAGCTTGCCGTGGTCTGGCTGACGATGCACGTACTACCCTTGGGGGAGTTGTCGTCGTCAGCGCCGCTGTCCTCGAATCAAGCGTAAAAGCCATGAACCATGCTCCCTTGAAGGCAACGAAAGGGACAAAGATCGAGAGAGAGAAAGAGAGAAGCCTTCACGTATAATGTACTGGGTGGTAGTGTAGAAACTGCCTGGAGGTTGTCCTCCCCCAGTCTGGACTGCCCGAATGCTACACTACCACATTACCAACGAACGATAAAAGGACAATATAGTATGCAACGCAACGCGCTCACTTTAGCCAGGCCATTCGATTCATCGAGCTGTCTCAGGTAGACACCCCCAATGATCAGAATAGATATTGTGAGCTGATGTTCCCGATGACCTGGTATGCACGATGCCGCCAACGTTGGCGCCTTGCGTCATTCTTTTGGCATGCACTTTATGTAATGAATGGGACCAATATCAACGGCAAAGAATAGTATCAAGATGGTTGATATTGACTGGCACCATCTGTAATATTCGATTCTATTAGTGTAGTAGCGGCATTTCGAATTTATTGGCGCCCTTTATTTATTTTTTCCTCGGCTGTAATTATACTACTAGCATACTATCTTCTGTACTAGTATCTGAAGGGTTTAGCAAGCTGTTCGCTTCAGCTGCAACATCCTCACCGCTATTACAGTACATGCAAAAACTCATGTACCTACATACAAGCGAACTTGCACTGCCAGGGGACAGATAAAGGAGGAAGAATCATTATACTTTCTACTATGTAATTCGCTTCGCTACTCTCCTACCCATGGAAAAAAAGATTCCGAGCCTACCAGGTAACTGCCAGTATCTCATCGGACGGTCGAGAAGATAATCTGCACTACAGTACGAGATATATAAAGTATCTCCATAAACGTATGTTTATCCCAATTTTTAGCTAGCTAATTAGCCCTCTGCCAGCGTTTCCAATCAGGGATATTCACTGCTCAGTACATATGCTAGTACGTCTAGTAGTTCAAGATCTTCCATCTCAAGAGAAATCTAATTTAGTGCATGGTCGTGGGGTTTCTGCATTAGGTAAAAATGCGGTGCCTTACAGCGCTAAATTTCCTGAACTCCATAAGGGTCGCCGTACACTAACTTGACTACACGACACTACTCTAGGGATAGCGGGATGGTTTTTCTACCTATTGGCTGTCGTCTTCTCGTGATGAATGGCCCTATGTGTAAGTAGAAACAACACCTACTCACTTCCTGAGTCTTTGGGTTGATGAGAGGAGAACAGGATGGCACAGTTGGTGCCTACATACGTTTTGCTGCCGACTGTGGAGATAAAAAGATATCTGGATGCACTTTACGTGGCGTACATATGGTACATATGCAAGCGGCAGGTACGGCTCCTACACTTCACACACATGTAAGTACTTAAGTGCTTACTTACAACTCCCTCTCTCTCTCTCCTTCCTATCTTCTTAAAGACCTACATGACCTGTCCAAATGCGATCGACCGTGCAGTCAACTCTTACATAGCATGTGTGATGGATAGTGGTGCGATGAGTTGTCCACGCGATTACTAAAGAATGGAGAACGTTGTCCAAACGACTTAAAGCAACATCTGCCTCTTCGGGCCATAGTCCAGAGGGATGTGCACTGCATGACAGATTCTAGTAAGAGGGTTCTTGGTAGAAAGGCCAAGAACCTTCATTGCTAGTTTACAGTAGAAAGTTAAACACGAGACAAGGCAATAATGAACACAATCTAATTAACACGTTTGTTCTATTATTCTTCCTTTCCTGGCATCTGTGCACTTATGATGTCATCTGGCTCTTTTGGTTCCGTCCATTTTCACTGCCTGGTTAGTGTCGGGAATACCCTCTTTTGAAGTACTTAAAACAGTCACGGCTCCTAGCCCTGGGCTAGCCGTACGGGTATTCTATTCAGTATTCAGTATTCAGTATTCAGTAGCTTAGTCAGTGGCCCTACCGGACCTCCGGAAGCCTATTCAGCCTACCGTAGCGTATATAGCCTAGTTGACGAAGGTCATGACCTGGCAAGTCATCCTTTACTTCGTCACCATACAATTAATAGTGTGTTTCCAGTATTCACCGACGACACTGCACATTGCGCCCGTCGTGACAAAAACTTTATATTTTTTATTATTTGTTAACCAATATTGTAAAGCTGAAGTCTAAGATTTATTAATTTAAAAATATAATTTTAACAATATAAAAAATTAAACTATACCTTCTTTAGGCTATATAGTTCATTTAAATATATAGAAATTTCATTAATTAAATTTCTATTTTTATTTAAATATAAATTATCTTTTAAATTAGAATCGTTATCTAAATTAAAAGATACATTATATATATCTTTATAAATATTTAATCCTTTATTTATTAATATTTTTAATTTAATAATATTA